ATTGGCGACCGGATAATATTGTACACAAATCACTGATATATAAGCTGAGACCTTGACGAAGTGCACACTTAACCTCGTTCAATAGTGTGTCTTTTTTGTCATCTCTGACCTTGCAACCACTTGTGAACATAAACACTTTATGTCTGGTTTCGTTGACTCTATCATACACTTTGACAAAACAGCTGTTCAGTACTGTCGACTTCAAAACAAGTTTCCAGCTTATGCCAGTTTGTGATGAAAGTCACTGTCATATTGTAAAACATAATCATGAAATTGCTTCCCTTACGCTTTCTTGTTAATTTCGTCTTATTGTGTGGTAATAGCAAATTAGACTAGCGTATTTGTGTACCACATCTTATGTTGATCATGAGTGAATCATTTTTCTTGCGAGTAACCAACTTTGCAAAGGATTTATTAAAGTTCTAAATGCTGAGTCTTGACTTGTAAATTTTGCTGTCATATGGTAATGAAAACGATATTGGTTTCATTACGTTCTTCATTTGAAATTTATGGGTTCATGGTAAACTTGTAGGAAATTTTATTATAATGCCAGGTTGTTTGTGGTAGTCGGGTGGGAACTTTGAACCTAGGTTTCTTGTTAATTGGAACTTGTCATTGAGGAATATTGCAATTTTTAGTGGACTGATGCTCACTATGGCGTTTGGACCCGTTTCACCTACCTTCACAATTGCAGACGTTACCATCGAACCATTTTGGGCAACACTGACCTATCGTAGAATTGAGATTCTTACATTGATTAGTGATCAACATCATGTTTGTCCTACTCCATATTTGTCATTGTATTCTGTTCAAGTCCTATTTTATATCCACGTTTCATCAATATACTTCTCTTGATTCGATGATGACTATTATTTTTAATCACTTCTATTATGTAGAAACGTTTAGAAGAGGAAGCAATTAAATATAGACAGTTAAAAGCTGAGAGAAAACATCATCAACAACAACGAAAAGAGCAATCTTCGAATGATTCAACGGGAATTGAATAAACGCTAAATAAAATTATATCTCTAACTGTTTTGTTTCAGTTTTTGTTGCGTCATGTACAATCTATGCAATACACGTTAGTGTACTAATGTATTAGATTGTATTCATTGTATCCATTTGTGTATGTGTAAAGATTTTACTTTTTACAGATGGACAAATTACTTTGTTTGTTTAAACATCATTTCTTAGTTTCTATACAATTTCGGGATCTACATCAATATAAGTATATTGTGGTCATTTAGTACCATTCAACTGACTAACACAATGTTTGTCTGTATAAAAAATGTTCTTTTTTTAAATCCTCAGTCTTCATAATGCGGTGAACCACCGTTTTGTACAGTTTTATAAAGAAAAAATTATCGGTAAGAAAAGCTTTCTGTTAGTTGTTCATTATCCAACCGTTTTATAGTTTTAATGAATTATCCGAAAGCTATCTCACTTATGTTAATGATCAAACATTTCAGGTTCAAATGTTGGTGGTTTTATTCTCTGTTGATTAGTAACTTTTAAGAAAAGGTAGGATTATTCAAATATTAAGCATCGCAGATTTATTTTTATTCATTCCTTGTGATATTCTATTAATAAAAGCTACATTTCGACACTATGTTAAAAACAACATTACCATTCTTGATAGAACGGTATTACGAATAAAAAGAAGCATAATTTTGAATAATGCAAACAGTTAAACCTTGCACTCATCAGCATAGTGATTTCCGTCCATGAAGACCTCCGGCTCATTTTAGAGATGGTAATGACTTTCTGGTTAAGGAACTGACTACGTTGTTTACAAAGATTTGGGAACTAGAGAGTGTTCCAACATCATAGAATGAGTCGATAGTTGTCCCTATCTTTAAAAATGGTTCACGTCGTTCCTGTAGCAGCTATTGGGGGATAAGTCTACTTCCGATTGCGTCCAAGCTATTGGCTTCCGTCATACTTCGTAGGTTGTTCAAAACCCGAGAAAGATTGACTCGCGAGGAGCAGGCTGGGTTTCGTTCTGGTCGAGGATGTATTGATCATATCCTCACCCTCCGCCAAATGTTAGAACACCGTCATAATTATCAAACGCCAACAGTCGTAGTGTTCCTTGACATCAGGGCTGCCTTTGATTCGTTGGATAGGACTGTTCTCTGGGATTGTCTTTTGAAGAAGGGTGTGCCTGAGAAGTTTATTAACATCCTAAAGGTCCTATATACAAACACCTCAGGCAGAGTGAAGACATACAACCACCTTTCTCCATTGTCCCATTCAAGCAGTGGGGTTAGGCAGGGTTGCCCAATCTCACCATTCCTCTTCAACTTTGCCATCGATGACATTCTGGAAACAGCTCTGATGAATGTAAGTAATGGTGGTGTGGATCTGTTGCCTGGAGAAAGACTTCTCGACCTTGAGTATGCGGATGATATTGTCTTACTGTGTGATAATACCCAAGCCATGCAACCCGGACTTAATCAGTTGGCAATCAATGTCCGTAGGTATGGTATGTGCCTTGCACCTTCTAAGTGCAAAGTACTTCTACAAGACTGACAGGATCCTAATCGTGTACTCACTCTGGATGGTGAGCAGATAGAAGTAGTCGAGAAGTTCGTGTATCTAGGTAGCAGTATAAGTGCTGATTGTGGCGTGAGTCATGAGATCAATGCACGTATAGTGAAAGCCAGAGCGGCTTATGCCAATCTGGGCCACCTTTGGCGCCTTCGTGATGTTAGTCTGGCTGTAAGAAGTCGGATCTACAACGCGTCGGTGAGAGCACTTTCATAAAAAGTGGTTGTTTCTTCCTTAATTGGAAGAATTCTTTCTGGTTGCACCTTTCCGTTTCCCCCACTAATATTATTACACTATTCTGTGGTCGTTGTTGTTCTCTCTTTTTTTCTCATACGCACTTTACATTCTTCTTCTCTTCCCATTCTCACTGTTTTGGTGTGGCGCACATATATCTGGTGCCCTCTTGTACCAATGTTTATGTGTTCAAATAAATAAATAGTCATTGATTATGTTAGGTGGTTCAAATGAACAGTGTGTAAAATGTGCATTCGTTTTTATTAAAAGTCAACAGATTCCAAATTTAAACCACCATTTATCAAGAATTTATCGAGAGCACTTCATGTTTTGTTTTTTATTTATTGTATGATTTCAGCCTCTTGATGAGTGAGTCGAGATATGAATTTATACATTTTTTATTTAGGGTTTTTGTAGGTATTTCAGAGCAATATAATTAACTACATAATTGTGACTAAATACCAACCTATTTGTTTACATTACTCTTGAAGATTTAATGATATGAAGTTAAGAATTGTTATCTATCAAACATACATTAAACAGTAATTGGAATCACCTTCGCATTTTGTGATAATTATGTAGAATCTATATATTTATAACATCGTTAAAATCACTTTGCTAACCAAAAGAATAAAATTTTATAAGAAAGGTTAGTGTATGTCTTGAACAGAGAGCACGTAGAATTTGTGATTGAGTCCGTCTAACTTTGTTATATAAGTTAGGGACTAATTAAACAACTACTAAAGACTGATATAACGAGCTGTTTAAAATATTTTTTCTCGCACGAGTATACTACGATAATAAGATCAGTTACGTTATATCAGATCTAGGATTCACGATCCAAAATAATGAACCTTATTAACACTAGATAATGCTTTATTCAACACGATTACAAGCAGTCACATTTGGTGAGTCCGACGTGGAAATCAAGGAGGAAAAGAAATCATTTAATAGTCAATAGGCTAAGTGCCCGTTTGTCCACACTGAGTGACTAATCATTTTTTACTCTAACTACCACACATCAAAAACCAAGATACACTAGATCAATGTTTCGACCCAGTATGGGACTTAACATCAGTGTTGACCAACTGCCCAGCCAGATATTGAGTCCATGACCTTCAGGTCTCATGGCTAGTGGCTAAACATCAGATGTCGACTCTCAGGTCTAAGGGTTGTGCGAACTTTGCGATTGGATAATCTTTGAGGACTCCCGTCAGTAGCATTTTAGTTTGTTTACATTTTCATCCTACCTACCATTTACCAAGAAGGTGAAAACAATACTATAAAATGAAATCGTAACACAGTAAAGCATATCTTGTTCTACACAAAATGACTACTTTTGGTTTGTTGTAAGATTATTTTCATATCTCAGAGTAATACGTTAGGGAATAAAATGTTAGTGTTAGAAGCTATAGATACTCAGTTCAAGTCTCAGTTTGAATCTCGACAGTGAAATACTAGTACGTCCAACTAACAAGCCCTACATGGTAGAAAATATGTACTCGTAATTTCACTACTAATCACAGTTCAAATATACTAATAACTAGACATAACTGATTGAGAAGAAAAATTGAAACTAAACAAACCCCTCAGTTGATGCTATTATTGATTTTCTTCGCTGTAAACATCTTACACAGTTATTTTTGGAAATCTCTTCGCGTATTATTGAAAAAATAATTACAAATTGAGTTAAAGTTTTATGTTGTGTAATATTTAACTATTGAGCATCCACCTATACTAGTATTAGAACAATGTAAGAGCTATATTGGATATTACATTTGTTTGTAGTTGCATCGTTTATATTAGGTTAGACTGCCTGTCAATAATGTTCAAGTCGAAGATAATTTACGCAACACTTATTCTAACTTAAAAACTAGGGAGCATGTTTTACCCTAGTCCTAATTTTTTTCAGTAGTATCCATGTAGTCTCATCAAGTCAAAAGGCAAGGATCTGTATGTCACATCGTTTCATAATATTGTGGTACCACTGTTCATTGTCATCGATGACATCTGTCCTAACGGGTCGAACCTCAGTTACCATATCTTTTCACTAAAAACCCACCTTCAGATTGTTAATTCAAATTTATTGTGCTATCTTTCTACACGACGTAAATTGGATACAAATGTGCATAGATGAATTCTTTATTTACCTGTTTTCATTTAGGCAATTTAATTATAGATGATTGTCAAACAACGAACAAGACATTCTTGTAATTCAGAAATATAGACTTTTATTCACAATATTTGAGCATTAATATCAAAGTAGTATTTATTGAAATATATGTACTAGTGTTAATGAAAATAGTGACTTGTAACAAAGATTTCAGTTACTATTTTTGTTTACTTTTTATCAACTAATCATGACTTGATTAAAGAAGGCAATGAGATTTGACCAGGATTTCTTTCTCAACTGATCCGACCACCTTTTACTGTTTTGTGAATTCCTCAGTTCTTCATGTTTAAAAATCTAATCAATGAGATCTGTTGAGAACATAGAAAGAAAAACGAAAGTACTGAGATAAAGGAAAGAGAAATAAAATTACGAATATTAAGTTCGAAAGTTATGTGCACGTCGCTGATTTACTTTACCATTTAAATGGATTATATCATCAAAGATTAACAGATTTCCAATCAATGAATATGTTTATAAGACTGAATATTACACACCAAGTTCTTAATTCAATTCTGTTATTAATTAATGAAATACAGAATGCTTATAAGAGATAATTCAATCAAATAGTCTTCCAGTATCACTGAGATTTAAATTCATCAACTTGTAAATGTTTTCTTGTTAACAAGTATTCTTGATTGGGTTGAAAGTTCTCAGATCTAATGTTATTACTTGTGGCCTGTATGCCCTTCTAATGTATAACGTAACGATAGCGCCAATTAGAGAGTAGTGACTTATCGATCGGACCAGTGACGCATAAACTCATATGAGCAGTCTACAGTCCTGATTGGTCCTGCTTTCCGCCTAGCCCAGCCAGTTAAGTCCAGAATACCAATCTCAGCCTTTGCAATATGAATCGTTTATTTCAAACATACCAACCAAACAGACCATATCGTGTCATAAAATAGGAAACAATAATTGCACAGGATTTAGCCAAAAGTGGCTGTGAGTGTGAGAGGTAGTAATTGATAGATAGGGCATAATTCAAGAATGATAAATCGTATAGTAATAGTTCATAGGTCAAAATAAAGCTCATAATAAGAGGGACATGAATATGTATAGTTTATTTATTGAACAATTATACCATAAAAATGTACGCATAGTATTGATCCACAAATGGATCCAAAAAGTTACTATTCATTATGCTTATCAGGACCTAACATTTAAGCATAGTCTGATTGTCATATATAATTGCAGAAATATTTTGTGAACTGTGTAATATATTTTTAGTGAGAAAATATCTGATGACATTTTCATATAACTAAACATGATCATTTGAAATTAATCAAATATGAGAGAAATGATACTGATATAAGAAAAAAAACTACTGAATTCAAGTAAAACAGAAGGATAAGAGTTTCTTGTATGTGTTCATCTCTTTTAAGAAAAATTTCAATTAATCAAACTAAAAACAAACCAACTTGTCTGTTCTGTACACAAAGAATATATTAATTTATATCCTACGATTTTTTTTATCAACTCTCTGGTAAACTTTTAAACTAACAATAACATCAAACATAATGAAGAGTTGTGAAAATTTTTCAGTTTACGTCATTGACTGACTCTAACTTGATGGTTGGGATGAGGTAGTAACTTTCGATTTTGTATGAAACTCCTCAGTAGTGGGCAGTGAGTATCCTCACAACGACTGGATCCAGTACGTTTAGACCTTTTAGGAAACTCGTCAGTTTTAGACTTCTAGTTAAGATCCAGTACTTGTTTTGAGGATCATTGCACAATTATCACTAATTACCTGTCCTATGCTGGACATAGTTAAGCTTTATCGACAGTGATTCTTCATTGAAACTCCAAGAATTCTTCTAGAAATCAGTCTGTAGGCAGCACATAATTGCCACTAATATAAGAAACTTGTGCAGATCCATTAAAATCCACGCTAACTGTGTTATCACAGCGATGATCATTGAAAATGAGAGGGTGTTGGAAAGTTATTTTGTTATACTTTGAAACCTCTCAACATCACTGCTATTTCATTAAGTCTCTTTTTACTGCTATCGATTTTATCACAAGTAGGGGTTTAGAAATGATTGGTTCAAATTATAAACTCATGAGTTGAAGCTAGTTCTATGTTTATGACTTCGTTTAAAGTCTGTGTTTGATGTAACACATGTTTCTGAATTTCTGAAAAGAATAAGTAAACTTTTAGTTTATTATGGTTTGCATTATCTCGTTGTTCATATTCATGATTAGTTAGCATAGAATCGTCTTGTGTGGATTGGGCAGATATAGCAAATATGTCACGAATTTAATAGAATAGACAGATAATGACTATTTGAGACTGATCATAATTTTCTCAAGAATATCGATAAGCACAACAAAAATTAAAACGAAATTGTCTCACAAGCTAGTGGCCATCAAGATTAAGTAGCTCAACAAATAACTCACTGAACAATTGCGGATAAACTTTCAAGTTCAGATGTGAACATCAACACTGGAATATGGGTACATTCATATGACGAGCTCCAGTTCGGATGGGGTGTGCGTCTTTTATTTCACTTCCAACCAAAGTCTATCTATTATGTAAACATATTCTTTACGTCCGTTAGTATTCAATAGAATATGTGAATAAGGCACGATATGTTTTGTGAGATACACAGTGTCTGTTCATTCAGTTAATATAAAGTATCAAACAAATTATTCTAAAACTCAAATTAAATATATAAATAACTCACTATTTTTATATTAACTACATACATTTACTAGTAAATTTACAAATCACAAAATTTAGGCAACCATATCTCCTCATAATCTGATAATTTTTTAATTGATTTAATTTCGTCTTTTTCTTGACCATCTTCTTTATCACCAATAGTTTGTTGACTATCAGCATCATGTTTACTAACATCAGATAACTTATCATTAGTACAGATTTGGTGTATACTTGATAAATTATCATTTGTTGTTTTTGTTTTAAATGAAGTGAAACAATCTTTCTTTTTCATCCTTCGACAATTATTATTATTATTATTATCATTATTATTATTATTGTGATTGCTACATTGACCAATATTAAAATTATTTCTACATATATTCTTAGTAACATTCATGGTTATTGTAGTTGACGATGGTGTTACAGGACAAGTACTAAGCTGTTTAGCCAGACAACTGTCCAAATGTAGACACTTTTCATAACAGTTGAAATCAACATTTTCATTGATATTATCAGAACAATTTTCCTTATCAATATTAGTACTGTTATTATTATTATTATTATTATTATCATCATCTTCATAACTATCTTTTTTACTACTAATAGTACTACTATCAGTGGATTGATGATGTGATATCAAATGCTCAAGTAATCTTCTCCAAAGATTCGGTCGATGATTTATTGAATTTGTCACTTTGACTAGTTGTTCTGTTTCACTGAACTGTTTCTCTTCAGTTTGATTATTGATCGGTTGTTGTTGTTGTCGACTCAATTGATACTGATGTTCATCTATTTTATTTGTTAACTTCACATTATTTATGGATTTAGTACTATTTACTTTTTTATTTACAAATATCTGTTTATCACTACTGTTATGATTATCAGTAGTATTGACAAATTTCATATTATTCGGTAATAATGAATTGATAAATCGATAAAATGATCTATCCTTTTCAAATACCTCTTTATTTATTGATAAGATATGATTTTTATTTTTACTCGATTTACTATTCACCTCATTAACTAATCCCATTGGTAAATAATGTTCAGAATTATTATTATTCACATAGAGTACAACATATTGTCTAGAATCAGAATAATAACGTTGAAGTAAACGTAATCGACGTTGTGTTAATTCTAATAAACGAGTATGTCCTAATTCATTTTGTTGATTATTATTGTAATGATTTGGCATTGGTGCATATGCATACCATGCTTCTACATGACCTTTATTGACTAAAAATACTGCAAGTAAATGATATTGTGATGTATAAGTATATACATTTGATTTTATTTTTCGATTAGATTTTGATAAATGCTTTGATACACGTTGATCGAATTTCTCTTTTATTCGAAATGCTATATCATTTGATAAACTTCTTGATTCTTTTGATCCATTCGAATAACACATCTCATTGCTATTATTATTATTATTGAAAAAAGCTGTATCAGAAGAAGTAGTAATATTGACAGTAGTGTTATTATTATTGTTTAAAATATTTTTAGTAAGCAAATGAGGTGAATAGAGTCGATCAAGGGATGTTGGAGCAGTTTGAATTTCTGGAATTGATTTCTCTCGTATATTATCAAGAAATTCACGTTCTGTTACAGTCGTATTCGGTCCTGGACTACTGTTACAAACAAATAATGAGTCACGTTTTAGAAATGGATACTGATTATTAGTCACTGGTAATGAACCATTCAATGAACGAAAATCTGGTTGTTGTTTTGGGGATAAATATGCCATTGGGGATAACTGTGGTACCGATTGTGGTTGATTTACAAGAGTTTTTCGAATCTTAGTTTTCAATGAGGCACCAGACCAATGAGTTCCTGCCATTGTACTATCTGGACCATAAGCCGTAGCTGTATGACTACGACCAACCCATTTTTTGGTGTAACCTCCAGAGGACTCAATGTACATTGAGGTTCAATGCTAAAAAAGAAAAATGAATAGTTTAAAGTAGAAAAATAATCAGATAATCCGTTGAAGTAAAAGCAGTGATAATAATTATGACACGTAAGTTAACATGATCAATGAATAATATTATTACTTGTGTAGTTTGCACTAGGAACTGAATTTAGCTAGATAATCTGTGAAAAACATGAAGCAGTAAGTACCAGTCTTGTCCTATTATGAAACTCTCCAATATTATTCACTCAAGAATCTACATATTATCTCCAACAAATTTAGTTTTTTAAGCCAGTACATAAGTTTTAGATCGCTGAGTTGACGCCTAATGGTTCACATTATTCAACTTCAGTCGACTGCTACTATTGCACGACCTTTACCCGTCGCAACTAGAAATGGTTATCACATGCCCGACATTTCTAAACACACTGATTACACACTGTCATTGGAACTTTGAGAATACTCATCGACGTAGGTCGTTAATGACTACAACGCTATTATTGATGCAGGAAATCTATGCATAATGTCCACTTTGTAGTGTAAATCAGTGAGTGAATTTAGCTACACTGCGATTGAAAACCAAGGAAAACTCTATATCTTTTCCCATTTCACATGCACTCTACTAATTTATGATTGCTGGGTTCTTCGCATGATTCATTTGATTCATGACAATCACTTTGATCTGTTTATCAGTTATGTTAATGATCATGGAATGAAGTAATTCGAAATGAGACTTAAGGCAAGAGTAAGAATAATGTGTTAATCTCTCATCTATTCCATAAGTATTCAGAGGTTTCCCATTTTCTAATTCAAACAAGGTTCGAAACAAAATAACAATATTTTATCATGACAGAACTGGTGTTAGATAAACTTTTAGACTGACTATTCCAAAAAATATATTGTGTAACTGTTATTCAACATTTACTTGAACGAAATATTTTCAGGAAATTAGGGAAGAAATAATATGAAACGATTTTGCGTACTTATGAGTAGTTCATTTGTTACTTTGTCATATTTTAACATTTTGAGAATTATGCCCTAATGGCACATAAATGTCAGTAGCATAGAAGTCTATATAGTTCGTAATTGACGAATATTCCAAAAAAATACTCATTGAGAGATGTACGCCTACCTCTCTTCTTCATTTTTCTAGGTGGACCTATGCTATTAATCCTAACATCTAATTAGTTTGTCGTATTTCGGCTATTATGACTGATACATATGCAAAATCTTGTTTAAAGCCTATTAACTGTGAAAAACCGCATCATTTAGTAAAGTTATCAAATGTTAGTCTGAGTCATGTAAAGGCATGAAAGCCTGCTGGCTGTGATCCATCGTAATACAACAATAAGTGACGGTTGAATAAGACATCGTAGGACCAGCTGTAGTAGTGCAGATACATAGATTATTTATTTCAGTTTTGACATTAATTTCATACTTTAAATCCTTGAATCTTTTTCGTTTTCTGCGGTTCTGTGTTTGTTTCGTTTTATCAATTACGGATACTATACATCTTTGGAAATTTTTATTATGCATCTTGTTAGTAACATCTTGCTTCAATGATATAGTAGTAAATCTGGACCGATACAAACTATCTGAAGTTTGTGCTGATGATGTCGTTCAGAAGAACGATGAAAGCTCCACGACCAAACCATCCAGCTCAGAGAACAAAACTCCACCAAAAACAAACTACTCTGACAGTTTGTTTAAACACCACTATGTGTAGCGGTTGAACATAATCTTCAGAAATTCACGCCGTCTAACTATACGTAAGTTGATCACGACTGATGAAAGTATCCTAATCAGTTAAAGAATTGTTTTATACACACATAGTTTTCGATATGGGTGCGTATGAATAGAGAAATGTTGCATACGTAATCAGAGCTCGAACTATCCACAGAGATGATTCCACATTCCATGGATTGATGACTAATTTATTTGGTTGTTACCATCAAAGTTGCAACAGTTAAGATACAGTGCCTAGGTGTTGCTACTCAACCATAGACCTTGAATCTATGAATTGCTGCAAAACACAGCATCTTTAAATTATCAGCATATGAAATTTTATTCATTTGGAAAATGTTTTCCTCAAATTAATAAATTCACCATTAATCATAGTAGTGGATTAAAGGAGCCATTGTACAAAAGGACCCTACTTGTCACGTCGTAGCTAGATGCAAAAATATTTCGGCACACTTTTTCTAATGAATTTGAATCAGTCACAATGATCACAATGAGACTTTTCAGTAAAAACTTAATGTCTTAATTCTTCAGATTGAACACGCATTTTGTTTCAGAAGTACATAATGAAATATAAATTTATCTTTACTGACCACTGAACAATGTCCTATTTTTTGCAAGGCTAGTAAATTGTTGCGAGACCATTCTTACTGTTTATAATAAGCGATTCAGTGCTTTAGTCTTTTGGATTTTACATTTAAATGCTTGAAATCAACTAATATGTGGAGACTTAAGTCTGAGTATTTCTCTATTGTAAAATCCATTAGAAAAAAATTCATTAACAATGTGGTATATAAAAGTTGAATATGGATCATCTGTTATTTCAGTAAAAGGGGTTTCTTTATGACTGTGACATTTTGTAGGAACCATAGCAGTCTTTTGTACCGTTATACAGTTTTCATCAGTCGTGTAAGAATAATTTTATATCGAGTTTATTAGAAATAAATAAGTCATTCAAAATCTAAGTAAAGCTTGGTGCAAAGCAGTGTTGGTCTAAGTTCTCACACCAGGATGTCATGGTATATAAATTTATGCAAATGAACGTTAATACATGTTTTACTGGAGCTCAATAAAATTCCTCCCTCACTTTTGTCTTCTCGCTCATTAACTAGTTGGGGGTTTGCACATAGGAAGTTTTCCGTAAGTACCAGTCTTGGACAACCCTCTTATAATAGTGTTCAAGGTTTTGGCTTTCGCTCTGACTCATGAAGATCTTAAGTTCAATCTCTAGTGTAGTTGTGGGTGACCTCTGCTAATGAATTGCTTACTAGAACGAAATAGTTGTCCTATTTCTTTCTTGTATAACAAAAGTTAGTGGATAAAGGTGGTCATCTGTATAAATCATACAAAACCACAGTTCTTAAAGTTGATTTCTCAATCTATTATAGAGTCAAGCCTCGTTACTAACAGTAAGATATATATATTAAAACAAGTCTGAAAATCGGAAAAGTTACTAGTAAGTTCAGTCATTCAGAAATTTCAGTTCAGTGCCAAATGATAAATGAGGGTTGCTGATAGGTTTACGCTATTGGTCAAGATTTGGTTTAATTTTCCGACAAAACAGATATGTACTATTGGTTGAAGATGTGATATATATCTATCGGACGACTGTCTAACACAATGTTTACTAAGTTAGGAAATAAATTATCCAGAAATTTAGTTGGATCGTTGAAGCTTTAGAATACTGTCAGAATTTGACTATCTGATTGGTTATTTACGTACGTAATATGTTTTAATTACAAAATCCTCTTCATCATTACTGTTAACCTTTTTTCAATAAAATCTGATTGAAAATATTTCATGTTTTTGTCCGCATTAATTTAGAATAAAAATAGAAGAATTGGTCAATAGTAAAATTAAATGTAATAGGATAAAATAGGCAAGCAATTCAATTCAAAATGATAGTTTAGCACAAGACCTATTTTCACTTAAAACAGTTATAAAAACCAGAAAGCACTGGATAGATGTTTCGTTCTAGCGTGAGGTTTCTGAAGACCATTCATCTAGGACCCCATCGTAGATCAAATTCAAAGACCTTCAGATCTCGTGGCAATAGAAAAATTTCAACAGTTTTCACATATTCCCCAATGTTATTATCTATTTTGGCGGAAATTTACAAATTTGAAAATGCATATATATATATCTTTTCATCTTCCTATAAATGGATAGTTAAATTAAAAATTTTCAATGTACTATATGAAGACCATCTAGATTTTTCTAACTGGAATGAATCGATAGAGATGGTGAAGATTTGTAGCTCAGATGAATGATTTTGATGAAGTTTTGTTCTCTGAGCTGGATGACTTGGTCATGGAGCTTGCGTCGTAATCTGAACAACATCATCAGCACCGAATTCAGGTGATGATGTTGTCCATAATAATGATATAAGCTCCACGACCAAACCATCTAGCTCAGAAAATAAAACCCCATCAAAAAAAATCGACAGAAATTGTGGCTGTTTACAATATATATGGCCGGATTTTGAGGGATTTTTAAATATTACGAAATTATTCTTCAATGAGGACTAATATCATTTAAAGAACCATTAAACACTATAAGTCGTTACACATTTGATCTTAGCTAGTCAGAGAATGGGAAGAAACTTTGCACCCAAATATCGTCCCAGTTGGAGTTAATTAATCGGCACCCTGTAGGAGTGAGATATTTTCTATAGAATAATTAATAAATGAAGTATAATGTATTTATCTAGTCCTTATATTGGTGAATTCTTAGACAATAACAAGATTTCCGTTGAAAGTCTGAATTCCACACTAGGTATAACATTGTTGTGTCATTTTTTGATTATGAAATTCTCTTTTTGTTATTGTTGTTGTTTTGATTTAAAGAGATTGAAAACATTTCACACTCCATTTACATATATATATATATATATATATATATATATATATATATATATATATATATATATATGTCTACCCTACATATATTTTAAGAATTCCTTAGATTTCACATTACCGCCTGAATGTGGATTTATGTATTTAAACACAATACAACACATGTCATACTGATAATGCATGTAAGTAAAATCAACATGGAGTCTTTGTTCTAGGCATATACTGTCAATAACTTGATTTGTTTTTTCTTGAATCGCAATAACATTTTAAAAAATCATTCATTTAGTCTATTCTATGCTATAAGAGTTGACAATAGACACCAAAAAAGATATAAAAATAACTTTTGTTATCGTAAATTTTGCCTATTATTATTATCATCACCACATATACTATAATTTCTTGACTACTGATAATTCCTTCAACTGACTG